TGGCATCTACCATGTTAAGGTTAAAAATGTTACTCAGAATTTTGTAAAATTGAGAAGAATGGCCTGGAAGGTCGATGGTTATTTTCAATTATAAACTAGGTAGATAATTCTCAGAAAGGGATCTTCACATCAGTTCCAGAGTAGTGTGTAAGTTTAACCAAATTAGTTAGGCAATGTCTTTTGCTCCTTGGTTAATGATTGCATACCAAGAATACCAAGAGCAGTAGGATGTTTGTGATCAGAGCAATTTATCTTGGCAGTTCATCATGGTGAGAGAGAAAAAAACTAAACTTTTGAGTTAGACAAAAAGACAAAATATATCCAAATCCCAGTCTTACCACTTCCTAGCTTTCTGCTTTGACAAGTCATTGACCCTCTCTGAGTGTCAGTTTTCTCATCTAAAAAATGTGGATAATGATGATGGCAATGATGACAATAACAATAATAGTAATACCTACATTGTAGGGTTGTTGGAGGAGTGAGATATGCCTGACATTATGAGCACAAATACATGTTATTTATTATTGACTATTATAAATACATTAGATTATTATTGAGGGATCACTACTCACCCACAGAATGAAGTGATGGGTGCCTCTCTCGTACATTTTTTTTTTTAATTTTGGGGAGAGTAGGGATTGTTCTCTGCACCAAGATATCACCTAAAATAGGTCCGGGGAAGAAATTAGGTGTTAAGAATGCAGTGCCCATGTTCTTATTGTTTTGTTTTGGTTTGGTTTGGCTTGGTTTTGGGGTTTTTTTATAATTTAACATAAAAAGCAAAATTTTTATGAAAATACAATGGTTAATAAAAGCCCAGCCCAAGGACCACTTGGTTAATTAGCACCTTTACCTTCCAGGATATCTTGACGTCCCACTGCCACTTGTTGTCAGCTCCTTGAAACTGCAGAAATTTGCCTCTGCAGGTGTGGAGAGCCTTCTTGAATTACTTAGGGTGCATGAGAGAGCAAATTGTTTAGGCAATAGAGCTGAAAATGTGGGCAAATTAGAATTCTTCATAGCAAGATTGTTCATTGTGAAGCCAATTCATGATTATACGTGCGCGTCTTGCTTCAGATATTCCGCTACACAATAAACCTCTTTGCTGGAATGAATATGTATGTGAGCTAATTTAATCAATATACTTGTGAATGTTGACAGTAGTGGTGTCTGACAGAACTCATCCTTTGAAATGCTGGCTGAGTTAATGTGTGCAGTGTTTATATGGGCCAAGACTCATAATTTGTGTTAAAAGAAGATTATTTTGAGAAGACACAACACTGCTTGATAGAAAATGGAAAAGCTTGAGAAATGGAAGGCAAAGGGCAAAGGGATTTTTGTCCTTTTCCTTCTTGTTGGACGGAAAACTCAAACTGATGGGACTAAACTGCCTTTCTTTTGAAAAATTTGCAAGGCATTAACTACACTTTTTTCTCATTGATTCATTTGAATTCTGTAAGTTGACTAAAAGGGGGTATGGGGAGGGCTTTTGTGTGTTGTTGGATTAAATGGAGGGCTAAGTTCCCTGTGCCAATCCGCAAATGTTTGCTTTCTGAGAATATCAACACTGCGTGATCAGATCGTATTCAGAGGGTTTGCTTTTCGAGAAGGTAGATTTTAGCATTTCCCAAAGAGCACTTGCAATGGAAATGGTCTTCTGAAATGAGAGAGCCATGCAGCAGATAGGCTGGTAGAATAGTTTAATCTTTTTTTTTTTTTTTTTTTCCTTTTTGTCTTTTTTGTGTGTCGGCAACGGGATCACAACCCTCGATGTTGCGCCCGCACCTCGCTCAGCCAGTGAGCGGGAACCGGTCTGTATGTGGGATCCGAACCCTCGGCGGGAGCGCCACCACACTCCCAAGCGGCGCACTGTAGCAGTGTGCCACCGGGCCGGCCCGAATAGTTTAATCTGACTAATCAGAATACCTGAACCTTGCTTTGGAGAAACCTTTTTATCACCGGACCGTGAGATTCCTCATAAAGTTTGTTCTAACTGATTCTGACTCTTTAGTCAACACTGCCCACTGAAATTAAGCACAAACATGGTGGGGAAAAGGTATAGGTGAATAGCCTCCTGCTTGGAAATGCAAGTCAATCTACAGTGAGTCCATTCATTCTAAGCTTCTTGGCCTCTATAAAACTTATAAAATCTTGGGGCCGGCCCGGTGGCGCACTGCGCTAGTGCGCCGCTTGGGAAGCGTGGCGGCGCTCCCGCCGAGGGTTCGGATCCCACATACAGACCGGTTCCCGCTCACTGGCTGAGCGAGGCGCGGGGGCAACACCGAGGGTTGCAATCCCGTTGCCGGTCCTGGTCTGGTACGGGGGCGACACTGAGGGTTGTGATCCGTTGCCGGACACGGAAAAAGACAAAAAAAAAAAAAAACTTATAAAATCTGTCTCAGCTTAGGTATCCTCCAGATCTGAAAGACCCTCGGAGCTGAAACAAGGCTGAAGACCAAGAGTTTAGGAGCCTGGCTCAGGCCAGCAGTCCTGTGTTGTCATGGCACCAAACTCGGCGTCCGTGCTCCAACTATTCTCCAGATGCACCCCTACCCTGCACCCATCCAGGCCATGAGCCATTCCAAGGGCAGAAGTGCTGGGCCAGGAGGGCACCTCCCGGGGCCACCCCCATCATGAGCAGACCTCCATATCTATAATTTATAGGATCACAGGAGCCATTAGAGGCATTTTGGTCACGGCTTTAAACATCATCATTTCACTTCTCATTGGTAATCCGCTAGGGGTCCAGGCAGACCAAAGAGCAACACAACATTCTCAATTGGATCCAGATACAGTTTTACTCAGCATTCCCAACATGGCCTGCCCAGAGCCTTCACATTCTTATAAAAGCCTAAATAGATATGTTTGATCTCCCCATTATTAAGATGGAATGAAGATAACTCTGGAAAGACCCAAATTGAGTGTGTTGCTTTAATTGACTCAGGTAGCTCTGATGCTGACTTAACTATAGGGCCTAAGGAGATTTGTTTACCCCTAATTTCTGTGATTACAGCTTGAGGTAAGACATAAACAGAAGCTGCTCCCGTTGTCTTCTTTACTTCACATATAAATTCTGTTTAATGGGTAGTCCAAGTGTGTCGTGTTCCCTAATTATTCTATTCCTTACTGGTCGGGGTGGGGGAGACTGGCTCTCATTATAGACTAGTTAATTCATGTGGGAATTTCCAGGCAATAACTCTCAGCTTATATCACTTTTCAGAATTTCTGTACGACCACTTAGCTTTTGTGAGTCTCTGGAAAATGTTGGGCATAACTGTCTCTCCCTTTAGAGTTGCAGACAGTCAGTGGCACAAACTCTTGCCTTGACCATATGAGGCATTATTAGATTTCGTATTTCATAAAGAATTTTTCTTGAAGAAATCAAACTAGGTGCTAACATGGGGAGGCAGACTTACAAAGGACAATTTTTGTTAAATGTAACCTTAAATATATTAAGTCACGTAACTCAGAATATACATATAAGATAGTGTACAAAGACACCATTATTGGGATATTAGAAAGTCTCCAGGTTATGGGAAGTACACTGGCTGTGAGATTTTGAACAATCTCTAAATCCAGACAAGCAAAGAAACTCAGTATGCAAGCACTAAAAATGATTGATAGGAAAAGGACCCTCCTTCTAGAATAGCTTGCACTCCTTAAAAGTTGCCACGGTATTTGTGCTAGTCCCCATGAGAGGGAGTTAGCAGTATATATGGCTTATAAGGAGGTTAAATCCAGTAGTTTTATGTGTGCTCTTTCTAAGTATTGAATACAACATCGCATCAAATCCAAAGTAAGTGGTTGTAGAAATTATCCCAGGATATGGGATTACATTAGAAGAAAGAGTGAGCTGTGTGTTTATGTGTGTTACATACATCATGCAACATATTCCTTGGACAAAGTCATTGCTTTGTGTAAGGCACGGGGCTAGGTAGGGGCTATATAAAAACAAAATAAACCTGGGCACTTGCAGTTGTTTGTATATGTAATTTAGTAGATAATCTGACATGATATCCAGTAGTCAAAACCATGGAAAGAAATTTAGCAGAATGGAGTATTTGCCAACCTGTCTATATAGCTCAGCATTGGTCTTTATTTCACATATAAATGCTATTAATAGGTGATCCAAGTACTTTCTTTTGCCTAATTATTTTATTCTTTAAGTTATTTTGTAATCCTTAATTATGCTCTTTCTAACTCTACTCAAGATATTGTGTTTGCTTAGAAATGTGTTTCGTCACATTTGAGAACTTTCGTGTAATGTATGTTAACTATTTGGTCTTCCAGTGCGAGGCATCTTTAAGTAATCAGATGGATAGAAACACATGCATGCTATACCAGGAAATAAATTTCCAACGTAAAGAACTCAGAAGCAACATATTCTGTTTGTCAGGATTCATCATTATTAAATTCATATAGGATATTAACTTTATGGTTGAAAGCTTTTGATCGTACACAAATGGACTAATTTTTAACACATGGCAACGATGTTAATTAAAAAAAAAGATGAGTAAGGAATTCTTAACCTACCATCATATGTAACATTAATATTTTGAATTAAATCATTTTCCTAAGTAGACCTGGCTTTTTGGAGTATATCTTTCTCTATCAGTTGAGCTACAAGGCTCAGCCATGACAGGTTTATGACCTTTTAAAAATAATGATGGAAAATGAGATTGGAGGAAACATTTTGGTATCTGCTTTGCTCTGAGGCCTAAACTGCGAACTCTCCGGTTCTTGAAGGCTTTGAAATGCTGATTTCAGTCTTCTTGTGGGTTCTTAAACACCTTCTCAAATGACCCATTTTAATAACCCGAAAGCTATTATATAACGAGCAGCCATAATTTAGTCCAGGGCTCTAGGGGGACCCTCACAGTTCAGCAATGAATAGTTAATGCAGTATAATGTTTAGCAGGTTATTAGTTTTCACTATACAAATGCTGATCAGGGAACACTTTTATAAGGTGTTTAAAAGAAAATGTAATTAACTGGTTGCGTGCTTCTGTTGCAGCTCAAATTGAAATTATTCCATGCAAGATCTGTGGAGACAAATCATCAGGAATCCATTATGGTGTCATTACATGCGAAGGCTGCAAGGTAAGCCTTTTTAATTGCTGTTGTTGTTTCTATTAATGTTGGAATGTGTCTTTGTGATTTTTATGTTTTACTTACACCATGTCTAAAATTCAACTCCTTGGAATTATGAGTGATGAGAAGTGACAGGACAGAATAAATATTTTGGTGTTAAGTTACAATTAAGGCAGTTATACTGGCATGTATTTTTACTCCTGCCTTCAAAATGACAGGAGACTAGAGAAACGTATTTGAGCATTGTTTATGTTTGTCACTTCCAATCCCAGAATTGATTGAACTGATGAGCCATCTCTTTGGTTATGCTTCTTAAAAAAGAGATAACTCCATACTTCTATGATGTTCCTGTTTTAAGCTTTGTAAAAAAAGGTATTTCCAATATGTTTAACCGGAATGAGATTGAATCTTACTGTTGGCACACAGATGTTAACACATCTGGCCACATTATGGGAAGCCTGTTAGGCAGAACTGAGTTCTGGACCTGGCACCAACCACCACTTGTCCATATTCTTTGGACATATCTTAATCCTTTAGTGACTCAGTTTCTTCATCTATAGAGTGGGCATAACACCTGTTCTTCCTCTCTTAGGACTAGTCCAAGAATAGAATGAGAAACTATAAATAAAAGCCCTTGTAAGTGGAAAAGTGCTATTTAAATCTAAATATTATCATTATTATTGCTGTCGTTACTATTTTAATTATTACTGACCTTGATCTTGGGGCAATATATACAGCACATGTGTCATGTGCCAATGGGAAATAGAGATGTTTATCCTAATAATTCAAGACCTCCAAACCCAGATTGCCTTTATTATTCAAATTTTAATTTATTAAGATTTAAATCCTCCTGCTTACATTGGAAGGGCCTTGAGACAGCTTACAGGATAAAACAGTGCAAAATAAACAGGAGAGAAGCTATTTAAACACGCAAGAGGCCTCTGAGATGGCTGATTGCTACAACCAGGCCTGAATTAGCCGTAAGGCTTTTTTGAGGCTGAGGCAAAACAAAATCCATGAATTTGGTTAACTTTTATTTAGTGAAATTAGAAAATACAATGTCATAAAATACAAGGTCACCTATAGACACAACTCCTGAGAGACTTGAGGGAAATTAGCCTCATAATTTTCTTAATTCTTTATTTTACTGTTAATCATCACAACATTTGCTAATTTGTACATGTACAAATACTTCACGTTTATTCCATCTTTGTGGTGCTTCAGATTTCTGCATACCATGGAACACATTAATAATTTAAAAAAAAAAAAAAAACCACCTGCCTTTTAGGAGTAAGGAGCTTGCTGTTTTTTAAAAGGAATTTTGAATTATTTATCTCTATGGTAACCCTCAAGGCCTCAGGGTTCTGGATTACCAAGGAAAAAAAGTTATGCTCTTTTACTTCCTCAATCTGCCTCCCTCAAAATTAATTAAATAATTAAATAAATGTAATAAAACAAAGTGAAATGAACTGCCTGGCTTATACCATCTCAGGATGTAAGGAAGAGAGTGATGTGGAACTGATTTGGCTGATGTGGCTGGATAGCTGTTACCCTTCACCCTCCCCCTCTCTGTTCACACCTCCCAAAGCCGTGTCCCTGGTAGAAATAATGTGCCCATTATATAACCTCTCAACGAAGGGTATATAGACAGCAGTGCTTGCCTGCTAGGAGTTCCAAGCAAGTCTGATTTTTGTGCATTGCATATCACCTAGGTGTTTTCTTAAATGCACAGGGTCCTAGGCAGTATCCTGGGCACCAGGTCACTGCTTGCCCTTCATTCTGCCCGAGAAACTGATCACTGCCTCTGAGTCTGTCTGGAATGCCACATGTAGTTTTATGTGGCAAACTGTAGTGAGTATTTAGGAATCAAGTCTGGGGGAGGGGCAAGGTTGGGGCTACTTCGTATGAAATACCCAACAATTTGGAAGATTAATTAACATGCTATTCAATAAAACCTGAATTGTCTGTCTGAGTACCACTGTGTTTACATAGGTACAAACAATGTGCATTTTCTTTTTACCCTCAATATTTATTCATGACAAAAATCAAAGAAATAAGAAAACAAAGGGCAGCTATCATGCCACCATGGTCATGTTTTTAGATTCCCTTCCAGATCTTGTCTGTATACAGCCTCAGTGCCATGGTAGTTTTCAGTTATCTATAGTTCTGTTCCTCTGCTCTACTAACTGTATACAATGAAAGTCACAAAACAATTAAAACTTAATTTTATTAACAGATTGGGCCTGTGCCCATCTGGGGACGTGTACAGTGTTATATGTTTATATTTGATGCATATAGTATTTATTCTGCATTATAGTTTCTCTCTGCTCAGTAACATTTTTATTCCTAGTTACAGTAAAGTCAAGAGACTTCTATTTTTGCCATTCGTGTTAATTATTTATCATGTTCTAACCAGGTAAAGGTGATTATATCATGACAAATTGTAAATAATTTAACTCTGTGATAGCATAATTAGACATAAGGAAAATTTCTAATTAGATATATCAAATATATAGATACCTAATGAGAGGGACAAAAGTGACTCAGTAATTTTCTGAGCTAATTATTTCATGAATGTATTTTAACTTGCATTTTTCAATCAACAACCTGAAACCATAAGAAATAAGGCAACCTGTTTAATTGCTGAAATAATGATCTATTTTACACATATTCGCTAAGCGTTGCCCATGAATGGCAAAAAATGGTCAACATTTTGGTAGCTTTTTCTTTTGTACCTGGCTCTTCCCACCTCAGCCTCTCCTCGTCCCCTTTGCTACCTGTACAGAGACGGTATTAATAGTGCCATGCTTGTGCTCTGAATCTAGAACCAGACTGCCTGGTTGGAAATCCCAACTCTGCTATTTGCCAGCTTTAGCACCTACCCCACCTCTCTGTGTGTCAGTTCTCCCATCTGTAAAATGAGGATAATAACTGCAGTTACTTTGTTAGAGTCATCACATGCACTTAGATAAAGCATTTAGTGGAGTGCCCCGCACGTAGCAAGCACTTGCTAAGTATTGGCCATTGTTATGGCTTGGTAATGCTGCTTTGTATAATCAGATATTATGTCCAGGACATCTTTGGGTCCGATCTTGATTTTTGTGACCATCTGCAATCTGTTACGTGGAACCCGCCAATAAGAACAAAGATAGTATGAGCACTTCCTTGGGGCCAGGCACTAGGTAAGCACTGTAAGGGATCCAAAGACCTAGAAGACCTAATCCTTCCCTCAAGCAGTTTATGGTCTAGTTGTAGAGATGAAGCCTGCAGAGGGAAAGCTAAATAGCAATGCAAGAACTAAATAACGGGGTAAGGCCACAATCTGTTCTATGACACAAGAGGGGCATATCCACAGGCAGCATAGCTAGGTGGCTTAGAGGAGAGAAGCCTAGGGTTCCACTGAGAAGGACCCAGCAGTGGTCTGGGGCTAGAGAAGGATTTTCCCTGTGAAGGAGGAATGGGAGAACATTCTGGGCTGGAGAGGAGAGAAAGCAAGGAATGGCAAAGGCAAAAGCCCAGAATTAGGGAAATCTTAGTGGCATTTAGGGAACAGCATATAACCAGTTAGATTGGTGCAAAGGGTCACTTTCTGTCAGTGGTGTAAAATAGGGGTAGACAGGTGTGCCATTCCCAAAGTTTTAAGGACTCCACAATTGCAAGGTTTTTATTATGAAGGTATTTTACTTGTTCTTTTGAAAGAACGGGGAGCAACAACGTACTGGCACAGCTCAAGCCCTGGATACTGCATTTAAGAAGAATGTGTTTAGAATCTAGGCCTGCGGAGGTTTCATTTTGTTTGTAGAGATGTTTCTAAGCTCCTGGAATAAAATGTAGTCCCAGCCCTGGGTGAGCACGGTGAGGGGGTGTATGGAAAGCTGGGTGGGCCTACAGGGACAGGGGCCAGGCCATGGGCGTGTGGGCAGAGGAAAGGTCACAGATGACACCAGAGGCTGCAGATGTTAGAGTTAAGGTTCAGTCTTCAAAGTGAATAAAGATGTGAAGTGTTTAGAGAAAAATGATCAATGTCAAGGTTTGCTTTTGAGAAAATGTCCCGTTTGTCGTTCAACCTCAGTTCCTAGCTTCATCATTAAGATACACTGGCTGCTCAGATGATGATGATGAAAAATGTGTCTCAAGATAAAGAGCACACACACACACACACACTTTTTTATCCATATCGTTTTAGACTTTTTGGCACTACAATTTCAAATACAACTTTTTAAATCGTAATGTACAATCCAGTATTGGGGTTAGTGAATTGGTTTCTGATTACATTTAAGACCGTTTGCTCTTGATTAGTCTAAGAACAGAGTAGCATTCATTTGTCAAATATTTACTCACCAGTTAATACATTTAAGATGATTAAATGCTTGGATGTGGGTGGGAAGAACTTACACCCGGTAAAGGGAGAATTTGGAACCGTTTCCTTGTATTAACATTCTCTTAAATTAACAATAAAAAAACTTTTCAAAGATATCTAGAGTGTATAGTTGATACTATTTTTTCTCCTATAAGAAAATACTTAAAGCAACTTCTGGGGGATTTTATGTATTAAGTTAAAGAAAAATTTCCATGGATGTTCCTTTTAGGCCCAAATTGTCTTTTAGAGGATTCTAATATTTTTATTTCAGTTGTGAAATATCACTAGCCCTGAACCAATTCTGTCCACTTTTCAGCAAGAATACATTTATGCTCAACATTTTTATTTTAATGCTTTATAACACCTGGTCCCAGTATTAAAGCTAGCCCTTTAAAATGGAAATTAGACTTGGGGAAGAACAAGCTGTTATTGTGTCCTATGATGTCAAAGTTTCAGTTCTGGCATATATAGATTGATAAGCACAGATTTTTATTTAGCTAAATCAGTCCTATGATGAAATGTGCAAGTGGTAAAGGTTGTGTTAAACCTGTTTGCATCAAGATGATTCAGATTTTTTTTTATATTTTTTCATTTGTTTGTTTTGGTCTTAATCGTGTCTCAGGTAACTCCCCTCCTTCCTCAGTTCACG